TGTCTACCTTGTACCCAGGCCAGTGTCTACCCTGTACCCAGGCCAGTGTCTACCCTGTACCCAGGCCAGTGTCTTCCCTGTACCCAGGCCAGTGTCTACCCTGTACCCAGGCCAGTGTCTACCCTGTACCCAGGCCAGTGTCTACCCTGTACCCAGGCCAGTGTCTTCCCTGTACCCAGGCCAGTGTCTACCCTGTACCCAGGCCTTGGTCTACCCTGTACCCAGGCCAGTGTCTTCCCTGTACCCAGGCCAGTGTCTACCCTGTACCCAGGCCAGTGTCTACCCTGTACCCAGGCCAGTGTCTACCCTGTACCCAGGCCAGTGTCTACCCTGTACCCAGGCCAGTGTCTACCCTGTACCCAGGCCAGTGTCTACCCTGTACCCAGGCCAGTGTCTACCCTGTACCCAGGCCTTGGTCTACCTTGTACCCAGGCCAGTGTCTTCCCTGTACCCAGGCCAGTGTCTACCCTGTACCCAGGCCAGTGTCTACCCTGTACCATGGCCAGTGTCTTCCCTGTACCCAGGCCAGTGTCTACCCTGTACCCAGGCCAGTGTCTACCCTGTACCCAGGCCAGTGTCTACCCTGTACCCAGGCCAGTGTCTACCCTGTACCCAGGCCAGTGTCTACCCTGTACCCAGGCCTTGGTCTACCTTGTACCCAGGCCAGTGTCTTCCCTGTACCCAGGCCAGTGTCTACCCTGTACCCAGGCCAGTGTCTACCCTGTACCATGGCCAGTGTCTTCCCTGTACCCAGGCCAGTGTCTACCCTGTACCCAGGCCAGTGTCTACCCTGTACCCAGGCCAGTGTCTACCCTGTACCCAGGCCAGTGTCTACCCTGTACCCAGGCCAGTATCTACCCTGTACCCAGGCCAGTGTCTACCCTGTACCCAGGCCAGTGTCTACCCTGTACCCAGGCCAGTGTCTACCCTGTACCCAGGCCAGTGTCTTCCCTGTACCCAGGCCAGTGTCTACCCTGTACCCAGGCCTTAGTCTACCCTGTACCCAGGCCAGTGTCTTCCCTGTACCCAGGCCAGTGTCTACCCTGTACCCAGGCCAGTGTCTACCCTGTACCCAGGCCTTGGTCTACCTTGTACCCAGGCCAGTGTCTTCCCTGTACCCAGGCCAGTGTCTACCCTGTACCCAGGCCAGTGTCTACCCTGTACCCAGGCCTTGGTCTACCTTGTACCCAGGCCAGTGTCTTCCCTGTACCCAGGCCAGTGTCTACCCTGTACCCAGGCCAGTGTCTACCTTGTACCCAGGCCAGTGTCTTCCCTGTACCCAGGCCAGTGTCTACCCTGTACCCAGGCCAGTGTCTACCCTGTACCCAGGCCAGTGTCTACCCTGTACCCAGGCCAGTGTCTACCCTGTACCCAGGCCAGTGTCTACCCTGTACCCAGGCCTTGGTCTACCTTGTACCCAGGCCAGTGTCTTCCCTGTACCCAGGCCAGTGTCTACCCTGTACCCAGGCCAGTGTCTACCCTGTACCCTGGCCAGTGTCTACCCTGCACCCAGGCCAGTGTCTACCCTGTACCCAGGCCAGTGTCTACCCTGTACCCAGGCCAGTGTCTACCCTGTACCCAGGCCAGTGTCTACCCTGTACCCAGGCCAGTGTCTACCCTGTACCCAGGCCAGTGTCTACCCTGTACCCTGGCCAGTGTCTACCCTGCACCCAGGCCAGTGTCTACCCTGTACCCAGGCCAGTGTCTACCCTGTACCCAGGCCAGTGTCTACCCTGTACCCAGGCCAGTGTCTACCCTGTACCCAGGCCAGTGTCTACCCTGTACCCCGGCCAGTGTCTACCCTGTACCCAGGCCAGTGTCTACCCTGTACCCAGGCCAGTGTCTACCCTGTACCCAGGCCAGTGTCTACCCTGTACCCAGGCCAGTGTCTACCCTGTACCCAGGCCAGTGTCTACCCTGTACCCAGGCCAGTGTCTACCCTGTACCCAGGCCAGTGTCTTCCTTGTACCCAGGCCAGTGTCTACCCTGTACCCAGGCCAGTGTCTACCCTGTACCCAGGCCAGTGTCTTCCCTGTACCCAGGCCAGTGTCTACCCTGTACCCAGGCCAGTGTCTACCCTGTACCCAGAAGCACTTACTGTAAGAGTTCGTGTCTTTCAAACTCACTTTTCTACTAAAAATGAAATTAAATTTATTCTGAAGTGTCTTGGGTCAATATTTTCTGAACTATCTTCAAGAATTCAATTGGCGGGTTTCGTAATGATTGGGATTGAACTAATTGCAATTATCACCCGGGAGTATAGTCAATCGGGTATGTTGACTGTTAATTGATCACTTATCTTTAGTATGTTGTGTGTGTGTGTGTGTGTGTGTGTGTATACTCACCTAGTTGTACTCACCTAGTTCTGTTTGCGGGGATTGAGCTCTGGCTCTTTGGTCCCGGCTCTCAACTGTCAATTGCCCGAAACGCTATGCGTACTAGTGGCTTTAGGTATTGTATGTACTACCTCTATTTTTAAATCAGACAGAATGTTTGTACTGTAACTCTGCAACTATGTATGTACTGTTCCTATGTGACGGGAAAGTGTAGCTGGTAATGCAGTCCTCACTTTGGCTCATGTTAATGACTAATCACATTTACAAAAAAAAAAGATGGACTGCTTGGCTGTTGTCTGTGGTAAAGTACGGGACGACACGCAAAACACATAGTATGAACAATGAAACTTTAATTAACTTAAAAACAAATTATGAATAAGACAATTCCTTGGCTATGTACAGTGCAAATTAACAAGTCAAAAAAATATAACATAAAAATAAGAACTATGGTGACGTTATTCTACAAATAAAATAAAGACAGAAAAATGGTTAACAGGTGCTGAGAATATAGCGCTAGCTGACAACATCCACCAATAAACAGAGCGTATATCAGTTGGTTGTTTACAGCTTGAGAGCACAAGGATATTCTAACTTCAATGACTGGTTCAGGCCCAGACATCGGCTAGTGCAGAGGTGCAGTGGTGCAGACGTCGATTCACCAATCAGAAGCAGGCAGGCTGGAAATGGTAGTTTGGTGATCGGCGACAAGGGAGGGGGGGAGGGGGGAGGGTGGAGAGCGAGTGTGATGATACGTTTGTGCCTGGCAAAACGTATTTGACTCAATATTTACTACACTTGCTTGTAGTATTTAGATGTTTTAGATGTACTGAAGTAGCTTGATGGGAGGAAAGAGCAGGCCTAATCTCTCTTGAAGGAGATTATCGTAACACCTAAATAAATTATTATTATTATTATTATTATTATTATTATTATTATTATTATTATTATTATTATTATTATTATTATATAACTGGTGTACAGATTTCTGAGCCTACTGGGCTCTATCATATCTATATTTGAAACTGTGTATGGAGTCAGCCTCCACCACATCACTGCCTAATGCATCACGGCCCCCTACCTCACACACCTTCCCTAATCTCACCATCCCTCCCTTTATTATTTGCTCTACCCTACCTGACTTACTAATTAAACACTCCTTCCTGTTGTTACTCACCTCTTGAACACTCCTTCCTGGAGTTACTAATCTCTTGAACACTCCTTGCTGGAGTTACTCACCTCTCGAACACTCCTTCCTGGAGTTACTAACCTTTTGAACACTCCTTGCTGGCGTTACTCACCTCTTGGTAGTTTCAGTGTCACCCACCATGAGGATTTTAGGATCCGCGAAGAGGAATTTAATAGGTTAGTAAGGTGGTTGGAGAAATGGGTACTGGAGTTCAACACAAGCAAGTGTAAAGCGATGGAAATGGCAACAGGCGACAGGAGACCAAAGTGACAGTACACAATTAAGGGGAACTGCCTACCTGTAACGACTCAAAGAAGAGCCCTGGGAGTGGACAAAACACCAAACCTAACTCGAGAGGCTCATATAAATAGTATAACTTCAGCAGTATACTCTATGCTAGCAAAAGTTAGAACATCATTCAGGAAGCTAAATAAGGAGGTATTTAGATGAGTTTACATCGTCTATGTGAGAGCAGTATTTGAGTGTGCCGCCCCAGCATGGAGCCCCCACCTAATGAAACACAGAAGGAAACTGGGAAAAGGTTCAGAAATGTGTGGCGAGGCTCGTGCCAGAGTTTCGAGGGATGGGGTATGAAGACCGACGGTCTGAACCTGATGACGTTAGGAAAAAGGAGAGAGGGGAGTGGAGACATGATAGAGACATATAAAATACTTAGGGAATTCACAAAATGGAAAAAAAGAGAAAATGTTCATATTGAATACTAACAAGAGGGTATGGTTGGAAGCTTGAAACTCAGATCAGCCAGAGAGATGTTAAGACGTTTTCATTTAGCGTAAGAGTAGTAAGGAAAGGGAATGAATTAAAGGAGCACGTTGTGAAAACAAATTCCATTCAGAATTTAAAAAGTAGATATGATAGTGAAATAGGACAGGAGTCGTTGCTTTAAGCAGCCGACTGCTAGACAGGCGGGGTCCAAGAGCTACAGCTCGATGTAGTTACACATATGCCAGCACACACACACACACACGAGCCCAGTCAGGTGGACTGAAGCTTAACAAATATCTGCTCTTCGTTGTCTTATTTATGATCTTAAAGTCGCTAGTCTTACCAACTGCTTGAAATACTCCAGATAATATATTCTTGTGAATATTTGACGTAATATAACATTGTTACATCTACCAAAACAAAATATGAAACCTTGGAAAGCCAAATTATACTTATTTTTGCAGTAACTCAACCATTCACAAAGTGTATCATATGAAATATAAAAGGCTGATAAATGTGTTCGCATTTCTGAACCAATGGGAATGAGTGTGGTGAAGTTAGTTGGGTTGTTATGCTCCCATAGTCGCGGCACTCAGCGTGAGCCCCGGCTAGTTGGCCGAGCGGCACTCAGCGTGAGCCCCGGCTAGTTGGCCGAGCGGCACTCAGCGTGAGCCCCGGCTAGTTGGCCGAGTCAGCAATTATGTCCACTCTTGCGTCCCACTGCAGCTGGACTTGCAGTGTAGGGGATGATAATGTCCAGACTTTGGCAACCCTCGAGTGAGATCCTTGCCAAGGCTGCTGCTGGCAGTGCTGCAGGGAGCTCCGTGTCAGCCACTGCTGCTGGCAGTGCTGCAGGGAGCTCCGTGTCAGCCACTGCTGCTGGCAACGCTGCAGGGAGCTCCGTGTCAGCCACTGCTGCTGGCAACGCTGCAGGGAGCTCCGTGTCAGCCACTGCTGCTGGCAACGCTGCAGGGAGCTCCGTGTCAGCCACTGCTGCTGGCAACGCTGCAGGGAGCTCCGTGTCAGTCACTGCTGCTGGCAACGCTGCAGGGAGCTCCGTGTCAGCCACTGCTGCTGGCAACGCTGCAGGGAGCTCCGTGTCAGCCACTGCTGCTGGCAACGCTGCAGGGAGCTCCGTGTCAGCCACTGCTGCTGGCAACGCTGCAGGGAGCTCCGTGTCAGCCACTGCTGCTGGCAACGCTGCAGGGAGCTCCGTGTCAGCCACTGCTGCTGGCAACGCTGCAGGGAGCTCCGTGTCAGCCACTGCTGCTGGCAACGCTGCAGGGAGCTCCGTGTCAGCCACTGCTGCTGGCAACGCTGCAGGGAGCTCCGTGTCAGCCACTGCTGCTGGCAACGCTGCAGGGAGCTCCGTGTCAGCCACTGCTGCTGGCAGTGCTGCAGGGAGCTCCGTGTCAGCCACTGCTGCTGACCAAACTACACGTGTGTGTTTATACTGTCAGTCGACCAAGCTTGTTTGTGTCGGTTCCTGACGGCTGAATGTGGTGGTTAGGGTTAATAAACAAGCAGTTAGAGGTAATGTATGCTGACGTGTATCTCTGTTTAATGAGTGTATAGTCGGTGTGTGTAAAGTGTATATTACCCTAAGGGACTCTACCCAAGTGGCTACTTACCTATCGCCACTTACCTATGGGAGTCTACGAGGGGGAAGTGAGGTCTAGCACTCGGCCCCTGCCTGTACTTGCCTTGTTACAGCGTGACTGTAAAGTTAACTGATTTGTAATTATGCATTTTGACTGAAAATCAAATCATGGGGGGAAGCGATTGACCTGAGTTTGGTGTCGGGAAGGTGGAGACGATTGGGCATGCATGCTTACACTGCATACTTACACTGATGCTTCTGTTCACTTAAGTGTTAACAGGTACCCGGGATTTAGGCAACGATCATGGTTTGCTTACTGAAGGAGCTCGGCCATTGGCCTAGATGGTCCTTGTTAAATATTACCGTGACCCCATAATGGTGGTAAGAGGTGTAATGGGTGGTGTAGACCCCATAGTGGTGGTAAGAGGTGTAATGGGTGGTGTAGACCCCATAGTGGTGGTAAGAGGTGTAATGGGGGGTGTAGACCCCATAGTGGTGGTAAGAGGTGTAATGGGTGGTGTAGGCCTCATTAAAGACCCCATAGTGGTGGCAAGAGGTGTAATGGGTGGTGTAGACCCCATAGTGGTGGTAAGAGGTGTAATGGGTGGTGTAGGCCTCATTAAAGACCCCATAGTGGTGGTAAGAGGTGTAATGGGTGGTGTAGGCCTCATTAAAGACCCCATAGTGGTGGTAAGAGGTGTAATGGGTGGTGTAGACCCCATAGTGGTGGTAAGAGGTGTAATGGGTGGTGTAGGCCTCATTAAAGACCCCATAGTGGTGGCAAGAGGTGTAATGGGTGGTGTAGACCCCATAGTGGTGGTAAGAGGTATAATGGGTGGTGTAGACCCCATAGTGGTGGTAAGAGGTGTAATGGGTGGTGTAGGCCTCATTAAAGACCCCATAGTGGTGGTAAGAGGTGTAATGGGTGGTGTAGACCCCATAGTGGTGGTAAGAGGTGTAATGGGTGGTGTAGGCCTCATTAAAGACCCCATAGTGGTGGTAAGAGGTGTAATGGGTGGTGTAGACCCCATAGTGGTGGTAAGAGGTGTAATGGGTGGTGTAGACCCCATTAAAGACCCCATAGTGGTGGTAAGAGGTGTAATGGGTGGTGTAGACCCCATTAAAGACCCCATAGTGGTGGTAAGAGGTGTAATGGGTGGTGTAGACCCCATTAAAGACCCCATAGTGGTGGCAAGAAGTGTAATGGGTGGTGTAGACCCCATTAAAGACCCCGTGGCCTCGCCCACCTTGCTTATTTGCTCGCTGAGGACAAACAGGCGATCTCAGGGTAACAAAAGAAGAAACTCATTGATTTGTAAATAGTCAAAGCTCTTGACAAGTTCTTAGTGCAGAAGTCAACGACTCAATGATGGGAATGATCCTTAGTAAAAAAATATAGTCAACATGACATTGGTTACAAGCCTTCAATGCGTCATATTCCCCCCCCCCCCAATCTCTCACTCTCTCTCTCTCTCTCTCTCTCTCTCTCTCTCTCTCTCTCTCTCTCTCTCTCTCTCTCTCTCTCTCTCTCTCTCTCTCTCTCTCTCTCTCTCTCTCTCTCTCTCTCGTTCTCAAATAGGTCCCTTAAAAGTGTCATTAGACGGGAACTTCTGGATGAATTTGAAGAAAGCAGAACAGTGCAAACTGGAACTAGCAGGTCCATTGTTCATCACAATGAAATGTTTCAAGTAAAACATGTGTATGGGGCAAGTAACAAAGTCAGTAGTGGAATAATCTCCGTTGAGGTCTGATAAATCCCTTTTGTGCCCTCTGTAATCCTTTTTGCGCTACCGCTCACAGGATGAGTATGGGGTGCACAATAAACTAGCCACCCCCGGCACCAACAATCAAATCTACCAGCCCGAGTCCTTAGTGTAACTGTGATGGGGGGTGGGGGGTCACAAGTACATAGTTACCTATTACAGCCAAATTACGATTGATTTCAACTTTTGACAATTTTTCAGTATATAATAATTTGCTATATAGCAAGAAATAATATATATATTTTTGGCTGAGCCTTAAAACAGACTATGTCAGGATGAGCAGGCTTCCCCATGGCGCAGTTGTCAATTGATTGTTGGCGTCCCCGATCCGACCATGATGGCCACATACCTCTCAGCAACCACGTTGGAAAATTGGGTGAGGCTGGCCCCAAACGTGTGTGTGTGTGTGTGTGTGTGTGTGTGTGTGTGTGTGTGTGTGTGTGTGTGTGTGTGGGTGGGTGTGGGTGTGTGTGTGGGTGTGTGTGTGTGTGTGTGTGTGACCATACAAGAGGTAATCACAAGAGAGAAAAAGAACAAATATTGACGCCTGTATCGCATTCTCTTTCCCCTTGAGTGGCTGAATTCACTTTTCATAATTGTTCATGAACTCTTAATCACATATTCTGATAATTATGACTTTCCCCACATAAGCTGCTCCCGGCCGTGAAGCACTCGGCACAATTTAAAAAACAGGGGAAAAATACGGAAATGTTATGGTGGTGGTCGGGAAGCCAACAGTAATTGTATAAAGATACTTTATTGTAAAACACGAACTGGTAACTCACCCACTCCAGCTAACCATATTGGGCTCATTTTTCCAATGGTGATTAAAATATTTTTTTGGGTATTTTGGTGAGCGCTGAGCCATATTTTGTATGTCCGATATATTACATGCAAACAAACGTGCGTTAATACATAAATACATGTATGGATTTAATATCTGTGCATGTATATTAAATATGTATATGTTATTTTGAGGTTATGTTGAGATGATTTCGGGGCTTAGCGTCCCCTCGGCCCGGTCCTCGACCAGACCTCCTTTTTGTTACACATCCCTAGTGAGGAAGCCCGTAGTAGCTGTCTTAACTACCAGGTACCTATTTACTGCTAGGTGAACAGGTGCATCAGGGTGAAGGAAACTCTGCCCATTTGTTTCCGCCTCCACCGGGGATCAAACCCGGAACCTTAGGACTACGAATCCCGAGCGCTATCCACTCAGTCGTCAGGCCCCATACGTGTATACATATTTATGTATGCTTCTGTAGGCATCCATCAGTCTCAGGAGACTATGGAGTTGGGCTCTGGTTGTCGGTCTGAGTGGCCTCTCCAGGGCGCAAAGCCTGGGTAGGTTGATATGGAGGAGAAGCTGTTACCCAAGCAGCAGGTCCCCCCCTCCCCCTCCCCACGGCGCCGAAAGTCTCCAATGGAAAGGCAAAAGCCAATACGATTGGTTCCAGCGCCGTCGCGGGAACTGTGAGCTCCGGAGTTGACCTCGAAGTTGGTGAAATAAGACACAGGAACTCCAAACCCGGAGACCGTCGTGGTCGGGGCCGGAGAAGATCCACCCCAGCAAGGGCAAGAACGACCCCAGCAAGGGCAAGAACGACCCCAGCAAGGGCAAGAACGACCCCAGTAAGGGCAAGAACGACCCCAGCAAAGGCAAGAACGACCCCAGCAAGGGGAAGAACCACCCCAGCAAGGGCAAGAACGACCCCAGCAAGGGCAAGAACGACCCCAGCAAGGACAAGAACGACCCCAGCAAGGGCAAGAACGACCCCAGCAAGGGGAAGAACGACCCCAGCAAGGGCAAGAACGACCCCAGCAAGGGCAAGAACGACCCCAGCAAGGGCAAGAACGACCCCAGCAAGGGCAAGAACGACCCCAGCAAGGGCAAGAACGACCCCAGCAAGGGCAAGAACGACCCCAGCAAGGGCAAGAACGACCCCAGCAAGGACAAGAACGACCCCAGCAAGGGCAAGAACGACCCCAGCAAGGGCAAGAACGACCCCAGCTTCCTGAAGCAGAGCCTGGGGGGCCGCACCAGCCCCAGGAGGTGGACGACCCGGTCCCGCACCTACGGGTTCCTGACAGAGATCGTCACAGCCCCCTATCACCCGAGGCCCGCTTCCTTCATGACCCAGCAGAAGGAAGAGCAATAATTATTAAACATAACAATTATTATTATAATAATTATTATAATAATAATATGATAAATTAATAATTATCACTCTTACATACAAATAATAAGATCAATATTCACACATGCATAAAAGCAGTCATATGTACACACACATACGTATACATCTGTTGGAGCTGAATGTGACAAAGGCTGTTGGGCCTGATCGAATCTCACCATGGATACTAAAGGAAGGTGGAGAAGCACTAAGTGTGCCACTTTCTATGGTGTATAACAGGTCACTGAAAACAGGAGACTTACCAGAAAGTTGGAAGACAGCTAACGTGGTCCCAATATACAAGAAGGGTGACAGGCAAGAGGCACTGAACTACTGGCCAGTTTCCCTAACTTGTATACCATGCAAGGTGATGGAGAAGATCGTGAGGAAAAGGCTCATGAGCATCTGGAGGGAAATAACTTTGTAACGCACCACCAACATGGGTTCAGAGATGGTAAATCGTGCCTCACAGGTTTAATAGAATTTTATGACTAGGCAATACAAATTAGGCAAGAAAGAGAAGGGTGGGCAGACTGCATTTTCCTGGACTGCCAGAAAGCCTTTGACACAGTACCCCATAAAAGGCTGTTAAAAAAGTTGGAGCAACAGGCAGGAGTAAAAGGGAAGGTGCTCCAGTGGATAAGGGAGTATTTAAGCAACAGGAAGCAGCGAGTAACTGTGAGGGGAAAGTCATCAGAGTGGCGAGATGTCACCAGCGGAGTCCCACAGGGCTCAAGACTTGGACCCATCCTGTTTCTAATATATGTGAACGATCTTCCGGAGGGTATAGACTCATTCCTCTCAATGTTTGCTGATGATGCAAAATTTATGAGAAGAATCAAGACAGATGAAGATAGACAGAGACTACAGGATGACCTCGACGAACTGGAGGAATGGTCTAGAAAATGGCTGCTAAAGTTCAACTCAGGAAAGTGTAAAGTAATGAAATTAGGCGAAGGGAGCAGAAGGCTGAACACAAGGTACCATCTGGGAGGTGAAATCCTGCAAGAGTCAAATAGAGAGAAATATCTGGGGGTTGATATCACACCGAACCCGTCCCCAGAGGCCCACATCAAAAGAATATCATCAGTGGTATATGCTAGACTGGCCAACATAAGAACTGCCTTTAGAAACTTGTGTAAGGAATCGTTTAGGACCCTGTATACCACTCATGTCAGACCAATCCTAGAATATGCAGCTCCAGCCTGGACTCCATACCTAGTTAAACAGAAGACAAAGTTAGAGAAGATTCAGCGGTATTCCATCAGCCTCGTTCCGGAACTGAGAGGAATTATCTACGAGGAAAGGCTAAAGGAGCTGGACCTCACTTCCCTGGAAAACAGAAGAGTAAGGTTGAGACATGATAACCACTTACAAAATTCTCAGGGGAATTGATAGGGTGGACAAAGACAATCTCTTCAGCACTGGTGGGACACGAACAAGGGGACACAGGTGGAAACTTAGTACCCAGATGAGCCACAGAGACATAAGAAAGATTTTTTTCAGTGTCAGAGTAGTTAATAAATGGAATGCATTAGGCAGTGATGTGGTGGAGGCTGACTCCATACACAGTTTCAAATGTAGATATGATAGAGCCCAATAGGCTCAGGAATCTGTACACCAATTGATTGACGGTTGAGAGGCGGGACCAAAGAGCCAGAGCTCAACCCCCGCAAGCACAGCCAGGTGAGTACATGCAAAAAATATCATACGCGTTCATTAGACCATACACATGTACGTTAAAGCATGTATTGGTGCGGACACACACACACACACACACACACACACACACACACGGACAACCATGCCCAGCAGTTCAAGTTACTGATCACCTGATCACACGCACTCGGCGGAGGCAGGAAACAAGAGACATGAGCGACGCGCGGCACAAACAACACATTTTTGTATTCAGAGGTAAAAGTCAATCAGGTTCTGAAGCCAGGCGTCGTCGTCGTCGGCGTCGTCGTCGTCGTTGACGTCGGCGGCGGCGTCGCGGGGTGAATGCCCAGGTGTTTCCTGCCCGGGTATTCACCGGGCAGGAAGCTAAGGAACAATTCCCTGAGCTCTTCGGCCACTCACTGTGAGTTATAAATATTTGTTGAAGACTGAACGCTTAACATTTCTAGGTGTGAGTGTAGCCTGGAGGGTGTCACGGGGAGAGAGAGAGCGAGAGAGAGAGAGAGAGAGAGAGAGCGAGAGAGAGAGAGAGAGAGCGAGAGAGAGAGAGAGAGAGAGAGAGAGAGAGAGAGAGAGAGAGAGAGAGAGAGAGAGAGAGACAGAGAGACAGAGAGACAGAGAGACAGAGAGACAGAGAGAGAGAGAGAGAGAGAGAGAGAGAGAGAGAGAGAGAGAGAGAGAGAGAGAGGGGGGTGGAGACTGACATTCCAATCCTTGCACAATTTATGGGAAAAGACACGATGGGCTCACACGATACGGACTAATGGGGTTTAATTTGGTTAATGACGCAGGCTATACCCGACTCTCCGTCACCCGGGGATAAAGGTGCGTTTAGAGGGGAGTAGGAGGGTTGCGATGCGTCGCTGATGGAGACGTTGATCATTACAAGGATGACCTACTTCCAACAAGGCGCTCTCCCTCGGGACTCACTTGTTCCCTCATTGCTGGAATTCGGTAATTGAGAGTCACAGACCCATGTATAAATTTTGGCGAAAATGTTTGTCTTCCATTTTTAAGGCATCTAGGGATGCGTACCTATTTTCCAGGTCCAGGTTTTGTGTTGGGCAGCGTGACGACGCCCCCCCGCTGAGCCTCTTTTGGCGCGCAATTGGTGGCGGGAACTTTCAATGGTGCCTCGCTCGGCTCCCACGACTCTTCGTCTGGTTTTCAGTTTAGTCGTTCATCGGTTTTCCAGAACTGAGTGTATTTGAAGACTCTTTTGAGCTTTCTCCGGAAACCCAAAGTTGTTTACCTTTGTATGCATCAGCTCAGCTGGTACACAGGCTAAACATCTAGGAAACAGAGCAAGTGTGTCATGCCAACCACAACAAGGAAGCAGAACTAACACAATGACCATTAGAGCAAAGCACATATTGCCACTTTCTTCCTCTGCCAAACAATGGGCCCCGTCGCCGCCTCCTTGGCCACTTGTCGTACGTGTATGCACAAGAGGCGCGCAGTAACCAGGGGCCAGATTCACGAAAGCACTTACGCAAGCACTTACGAACGTGTACATCTTTTCTCAATCTTTGGCGGCTTTGTTTCCAATTATTGAACAGTTAATGAGCTCCGAAGCACCAGAAAGCTGTTTATAACAATAACAACAGTTGAATGGGAAGTGTTCATGCTTGTAAACTGTTTAATAAATGTAACCAAAGCCGTCAAAGATTGAGGAAAGATGTACAGGTTCGTAAGTGCTTGCGTAAGTGCTTTCGTGAATCTGGCCCCAGTGGTTTCGTCTACATTCATTGGTGATCAGTGTAGAGTTAACATTGACCAAGAGCGAAGAGAGACTGTAAAGGTTAATCTATACACCATGAACCATATGGCCAGGGTTCATCTCATCAACGTCAGGTAAGAGGCAAATGTCAGATCTCTGAACTATAAAGTGGGGTTGTTGGGGCAGGTGTTGGGATGTGTCGGGGTAGATGTTGGGGCAGGTGTTGGGATGTGTCGGGGTAGATGTTGGGGCAGGTGTTGGGATGTGTCGGGGTAGATGTTGGGGCAGGTGTTGGGATGTGTCGGGTAGATGTTGGGGCAGGTGTTGGGATGTGTCGGGGTAGATGTTGGGGCAGGTGTTGGGATGTGTCGGGGTAGATGTTAGGATGTTTCGGGGCAGGTGTTGGGATATGTTGGGGTAGGTGTTGGGATATGTCGGAGCAGGTGTTGGGATGTTTCGGGGCAGGTGTCCGGGTAAGTGTTGGGGCAGGTGTCCGGGTAGGTGTTGGGGCAGGTGTCCGGGTAAGTGTTGGGGCAGGTGTCGGGGCAGGTGTTGGGGGCAGGTGTCGGGGCAGGTGTTGGGGGCAGGTGTCGGGGCAGGTGTTGGGGCAGGTGTTGGGGCAGGTGTCATAAGAACACAAGAATCACCGAAACTACAGTAGGCCTGTTGACCCATACGTTGGCGCTCCTGTTTACATCCATTGAAATTCATGTATATGTTTAACCTACGCTTGAAACAACCAAGGCGTCCCACGTCTATTGATCCCCCGGTAATTTGTTCCACAAATCAACAACTCTCCCTCCAAACCAGTATTTACCCAGGTCTTTCCTAAATCTAATCTTATGCAATATTTAACCATTGTTTCGTGTTCTATTATGTGTGGATATATTTAATACCTTATTAATATCTCCCTTGTTATGTCCATTCATCCACTTGTTCAATTATGTCACCCCTAATTTTTCGTCTTTCTAGATAATATAAATTATGTTTTTTTAATTTCTCATCATCATCACATGGAAGGTTTCTAATTAGCGGGATTAACCTTGTCATTGTCGTTGTCATTCACTTGAACGCTAAACGCGTTCAAGTGAATTTATGTCCATTCTAAAGTAACGCGACCAAAACCCGACTGTATAAGCTAAACGGAGCCTAACAAGAGCAAGATATATAGCTGAAGAATAATGAAGGTGTTTTATTGCTTACGCTTCTAGAAATATATCTAGTGTCCTATTTGCCTTATTTCGAACATTTATGTATTGGTTTTTGCCTTTAAATTCTTTATAATCATGACCCCCAGAACATTTTCACAATCAGGCTTCGCAATCTCAACACCATCCAACTGATATCCTGTAACTCTACCTTATAGTAAAGACTTCTGAGTATATTTCCTGCCCCATTTCCGTATCGTCGGTAAATTTGCAAATATTGTTGCTCAGTCCTGATTCTAAATCATTTATATATTATAAACAACAGAGGTCCCAGGCCAGAGCCTTGAGGCACTCCTCTTACAATGGTTTCCCACTCTGACTTAACTCTATGTATACTAACTTTTTATTTCCTTTGACACAACCAGGCCCTAATCCAACTTAAGACAGCACCCCCAGCACCGTGAGCCTCTATCTGTTGAATCAAGTTATCTTATAGTATTGTATCTAAACCTTTCCTGAAGTCAAGCAACACGTCATAAACCTTTCCTCTTCAACTGGCTCATTTATGCTGGGATAAAATGATAGCAAATATGCTATTGAGATGGCCTTATTAAAATCATATTGTGGATAATTTATTAATCTATTTTTTCAAGATGTAGACGAATGGTTTTGAAATTATAGATTCAAGCAATTTTCCCCACAATAGACGTTTAGCTAATTGGCCGAAAGTTCGACGCGTGATCTCTCTCTTTTCTTAAAAATTAGTACCACATTAACAATCCTCCACGACTCCGGCACTCTGCCTGAATCTATTGATATAATAAAATACCCAAGACAAGGACTCACAAAGCTTTTCTTCATATTCCTTAAGCACCCTGGCAAACACCTCGTCCGGCCCTTGGGATGTGTTTGGCTTGAGTTTTTCTATTTGTTTAATAACTTCCTCCCTGGTAACCACTAATCAACCTGTCCTCTTCACCACAAATATAGATTTGCTCTGCTGAAGGCATAATATTAAGTTCTTCTTTAGTAAATACAGAGACAAAATACTTATTTAAAATACTACACATCTCTGTCATTATCAGTTATCTGGCCTGAGTTTTTAATGGACCTGTCTTTCCCCTGATCCTTCTTTGATATAACTTAAAAGCCCTTAAGGAGTTGTCTTAGCCTCCCTTGCTGTTAATACCTCATAGCTTATTTTTGCTGTCCTTATTCCTGTCTTTGACATGTCTGACTAGTTTGACACATTCGTGTTCGAGATTGATTTCCCTATTATTAATCCTTTTGTACAAAGGTTTCTTTTTTAAGTATTAAGTCTCTTTAGGCCCATAGTTATCCATTTGAGACATGTCGCATGGCACATATTAAGGAAAGGATCGGGGCAAGAGTCTGGGCAGGAGTCGGGGCAAGAGTCGGGGCAAGAGTCGGGGCAAGAGTCGGGGCAAGAGTCGGGCCAAGAGTCTGGGCAGGAGTCGGGGCAGGAGTTGGGGCAAGAGTCGGGGCAAGAGTCGGGGCAAGAGTCTGGGCAGGAGTTGGGGCAAGAGTCGGTAAGAGTCGAGGTGAGAGTCAGATCAAGAGTCGGGACAAGAGTCGGGGCAAGCGTTAAGGCAAGAGTCGGGTCTGGAAGTAAGCTCATTAATATGGCAGAAAATGGAAGAGAAAGCCGGGCGGTTAGCGAAAAAATTGAGAAACAAAAAGTGGAGCAAATCACTGCAACAAGCAACGGAACACTGCGGCACTGCGGCGGGTAGCGGGGCACTGCGGCGGGTAGCGGGGCACTGCGGCGGGTAGCGGGGCACTGCAGCAGGTAGCGGGGCACTGCGGCGGGTAGCGGGGCACTGCGGCGGGTAGCGGGGCACTGCGGCGGGTAGCGGGGCACTGCAGCGGGTAGCGGGGCACTGCGGCGGGTAGCGGGGCACTGCAGCAGGTAGCGGGGCACTGCGGCGGGTAGCGGGGCACTGCGGCGGGTAGCGGTGCACTGCGGCGGGTAGCGGGGCACTGCAGCAGGTAGCGGGGCACTGCGGCGGGTAGCGGGGCACTGCGGCGGGTAGCGGGGCACTGCGGCGGGTAGCGGGGCACTGCAGCGGGTAGCGGGGCACTGCAGCGGGTAGCGGGGCACTGCGGCGGGTAGCGGGGCACTGCAGCAGGTAGCGGGGCACTGCGGCGGGTAGCGGGGCACTGCGGCGGGTAGCGGGGCACTGCAGCGGGTAGCGGGGCGGGTAGCGGGGCACTGCGGCGGGTAGCGGGGCACTGCAGCAGGTAGCGGGGCACTGCGGCGGGTAGCGGGGCACTGCGGCGGGTAGCGGGGCACTGCGGCGGGTAGCGGGGCGGGTATCGGGGCGGTAGCGGGACAGGTAGCGGGGCACTGTGGCAGGTAGCAGGGCGGGTAGCGGGGCAGGTAGCAGGGCGGGTATCGGGGCGGGTATCGGGGCGGTAGCGGGGCAGATAGCGGGGCAGGTAGCAGGGCGGGTAGCAGGGCAGGTAGCGGGGCAGGTAGCAGGGCGGGTATCGGGGCGGGTAGCGAGGCACTGTGGCAGGTAGCGGGGCGGATAGCGGAGCAGGTAGCAGGGCGGGTAGCGGGGCAGGTAGCAGGGCGGGTATCGGGGCGGGTAGCGGGGCGGGTATCGGGGCGGTAGCGGGGCGGGTAGCGGGGCGGGTAGCGGGGCTGGTAGCGGGGCACTGCGGCGGGTAGCGGGGCGGTAGCGGGGCGGGTAGCGGGGCGGGTAGCGGGGCGGGTAGCGGGGCGGGTAGCGGAGCGGTAGCGGAGCGGTAGCGGGGCGGGTAGCGGGGCGGGTAGCCTCCAGCCAGTCACCGTCGTGTAACAAAGAACGCGCCCTGGCTGCTCCCACAGATATGAACCCTGATATCACCTTAATTGGACCCGTCCCGCCCTGATACCATCTTCCTTTTTCACTACTGCACTTATCTCAATCTGGCCTTCTGATTATTCTCCTTCATTCCATCTCTGTTATGCCATCCTGTCATAACACACATATAACAAGATATTTGTACCGGAATCGAAGATTAAATTGTGGAAAGCAGCCGCCCCACGACTGAATTGTGACCCCGTTGAGAACAGAGTCCGGACACAATGGTGCACCGACCACGACCCGGACTCTGGCTTAAAAAAGGGGGGGATTTTCGCTCGGCCAAACGAGACAGATGAAGCGATATTTAACGTATATGGCTATTATTGTATCAGACGACAAAGCTGCCACGGAGCCCCAAAAGACTTACAGCTGGCTGAGTCCAGTGTGGAAACGTGTAATCAGGAGACCTTTTGCGCTCTCCCCCTCCCCCACTTCCCCCCTCCACACCCGGGGCCAAGTGGACATGTCGTGCGGCTATTGTTGTTGTTTATATAGGGGATAGGAGGGGGTGGGGGGTGATGCTGGCTCCACGGAGCTGGCTGACTGGCTGGCTGCCTAGCTGGTCGCCTCTCCGGCTTGTTGGTAGGCTTGCTGGCCGGCTACCTCATTGGATAGCTGGCTGGCTGGCTGGCTGGCTGGCTGGCTGGCTGGCTGGCTGGCTGGCTGGCTGGCTGCCCGAGACTCACTGCCTTGCTCGCTTTTGTTTTATTGTTGTGTTGAAGATGTTGTGAGTTTACCAGGCATGCATGTACACATGCGCTCATTCACAACCTGTACACGTTGGTACTGAACAATATTACACTCACACACATATATACATACATATTCATAATTTGTAGAGAGAGAATACCGTGATAAATAGAATTCTGACACAATACATGAGGGACTACACAACAAATACATGCAAAGAGTTGAAGAAAGATTTACGCCGCCCTAAGATATAATCCAGATAAAATAAATAACAGTATAGAACAAATAACGAGAGCACACACACACACACACACACACACACACACACACACACACACACACACACACACACACACGCACACGCACACACACACACACACACACACACTCAAGCTACAGGAATGGTCGAACAAATGGTTGTTTGAGTTTAACCCAAGCAAATGCAATATAATGAAGATAGGTGTAGGGAGCAGGAGACCAGACACAAGGTATCATTTGGGAGATGAAATACTTCAAGTCAGAGAGAGAGAGAAAGACCTGGGGGTTGATATCACGCCAGACCTGTCCCCTGAAGCTCATGTCAAGAGGATAACATCAGCAGCATATGCCAGGTTGGCTAACAGAAGAACGACCTTTAGAAACTTGTGTAAGGAATCTTTCAGAACTTTGTATACCACATATGTCAGAAAGATCCTGGGGTATGTGGCTCCAGCACGGAGTCCATATCTAATCAAGCATAAGACTAAACTCGAAAAGGTTCAAACGGTTGCCACCAGACTAGTACTCGGGCTGAGTGGTATGAGCTACGAGGAGAGACTACGGGAACTAAACCTCACGTCGCTGGAAGACAGAAGAGTTAGGGGGGGGACATGATCACCACATGCAAGATTCTCAAAGGAATTGATAGGGTAGGTAAGGAAATGCTATTTAACACAAGGAGCACACGGACTAGAGGACACAGGGGGAAATTAAGTGCCCAAATGAGCCACAGAGATATTAGAAAGAATTTTTTTTAGTGTCAAAGTGGTTGACAAATGGAATGCACTAGGCAGTGATGTGGTGGAGGCTGACTCCATACACAGTTTCAAGTGTAGATATGATAGAGCCCAATAGGCTCAGGAACCTGTACACCAATTGATTGACAGTTGAGAGGCGGGACCAAAGAGCCAGAGCTCAACCGCCGCAAGCACAAATAGGTGAGTACAATTAGGTGAGTACACATACACACACACACACACACACACACACACACACACACACACACACACACACACACACACACACACACACACACACACACACACACACAAATATAATATAATATATATGAGAGAGAGAGGCTGCAGGAACGCGCAAGCCATAAATCACTAAGAACTCTATATGACCCGACCAGGATTCGAACCCATGACGTTCAGGATCACCCCTAAACGTGATGAAATGTTAAAAAAGAAACAAGAAACCAAAAGGATGAGACAATTCCAAAGGGGTTTCCTTCAGAATATCAAGCAAAGATCTGAGAGAAGACAGGGCCATCAAAACCGAGAGAGGATACGTAACTGATAATGACAAAGAAGGTAGTAGTACTTTAAATAAGTACTTTTGCTTACATGATGCTTGTAGCTAAACAAATCTATGTAGGCAGTGAAGAGGGCAAGATGACTAGTTTACTGGTTACCAGAGATGAATAAACAAATAGAAAAATTCACACCAAACAAGTCTCCAGGGTCAGACGAGGTATTAGCCTGGGTACTTAAAGAGTGCAAAGAAGAGCTCAGTGAGCCCTTGTCTTGCATGTTTACTAAATCAGTGGAGTGGAGCAGAAGACCGAATGCTTGCAGGCTTGCAAATATGGTGCTGAATTTGAAGAAAGAAGATAGATAATTTGCGTCGAACTATCATCCAATTAGCTTAACGTGTATCGTAGGAAAATTACTTGAATCGATAATCGCAAAAACTATTCATTTACATGTTGAAAAATGTAGCTTAATAAAGGAGTCACAACGTGTTTTACGAAGGGCCACTCATGTTTGACAAATTTAATTCGTTCCGGTATACTTCAAACAGAAGTTCGCGGAAAGGATATCAACATTTCTATATCTTGACTTTAACGAGGCCTTTGATACTGTGCCTCGCGAAAAGCTCGTTAAAAAGCTTCACGCCCATGGTATTGGGAGGATTATCCTAAGTTGGATTAGGGCTTGGTTCTGATGTAGTAAAGCAGGCCGTTCTCGCCACCGTTCCCAACGTCTAGAAACTGTCGCACTCTCCTAAACTGCCAGTGGACCCATGAATAGAAAATGGGACAGTTTGTCAATTTCGCGAGGCGCGACCATTTTCGAGTACGACAGTTTTTGGCCTTGGGTAAACTATACGTCAAAATGCGACGTGCTATTAGGGGCACGTGTTGACTAGTTGGCACAAATGGAGTTAAGTCCGAGAGGGAGACTATTGTAGATGGTGTGCCCCGGGGCGCTGTCCTGGGACCTCAGTTGTTTACCATGCATATAAACGATTTAGACGCAGGATTGAACAGCAGCATTTGTAAATTTACATATATATTATATATATGTAAATTATATTAATATATAAATATATATTATCCAGAATGACGAAGGGTGACATGACTGGAGTATTTAAATAGATGAAAGAGTATTACACAGGGATATAAATGATTTAAATTTATCAACCCAAGATAGAAGTCGAAACAATGGATATAAACGGGATAGGTTTAGATTCTGGAAAGGCTTGGATAAATACTGGTTTAGATTTACGGAACATATTACCAGGGAGCACAATAGACGCTGGAGTGGCTGGATTGTTTCAAGCGTAGGGTAGACATATATATGGATGAGTTTGGGTGGATGTAAATAGGAGCTGCCTCGTGTGGACCAATAGACCTTCAGCAGTTCCATTTATTTTATGATAGCATGTTATTTCTAATTATCTCCTTCCAGCTATATCCAACTTGTTATTATCCCTCTCTAACCTCTATCTAATCTTGATTATACATCTTTAATCAGCATCCAATCCCATTACCCCTCTACAATCTATATCCCATGCTTCCTTACCACCTCTGGGCTCGAATGATATTTATTTTTGTATAATGATAAATTTTTCAAATTTTTGGGAGAGAGGACGTCGATATTTAAACCCATATATAATGTAAGGAAATTCGTTTTCAACAAGAGTACTTCTGAGAAATGGCATTCATATATGTTGGAGTGTATCTGGAAGTGTATGTGGGAGTGTATCTGGAAGTGTATGTGGGAGTGTATGAGTGTATGTGGAGAGTTTGACTGTAGTGAAACTATTCTGAATGGACAAATGTAGATGAGAAGATAAGCGTATGATTATTGCTCATATCATATAGATATAAATAGGTCGTCGTAAATAGGTACCATTGAGTATTCACCTTGGGAGAGGCCTTTACCAGAGGGTGAAGATGGAAGTCGAACACCCACATGGCCTCCAAACGACCAGTTGGTAGAGCCTGAGGGACTCTGAGAGGTAACCTTCCAGTGTAATACACACAGAAATCACAATAGCGTGATGCATCAAATGAACAAATCCACAAGGGCCGTGACGAGGATTCGAACGTTCGTCCGAGAGCATCCCAGATGCTGCCTTACGTCTGTCAGTCATTAAGTCAGTCGATTAAGGCAGCGTCTGGGATGCTCTCGGACACAGGTTCGAATCCTCGTCACGGCCCTTGTGGATTTGTTCCAGTGTAATAGTTAAGTACATAGCTAGTGTACAGGGGGAGCTGCTAGATGCTGGCTCCAAACTCTGCTTCAGGGGCAGCGATTGAAGCTGGGGTACGAGAGCTAAAGCTCAACCCAGATAACATACACAAAGTAGAACAAGGGACCAAACTTTGAAATGAGTGAAAATGTGCTGGAAAAAATGAACCTAACGACCCCTCAAGAGGAGGAAGTAATTACAGGACTAAACCACTGGCAACTTCAACACTTATTATAGATTGGTTCATTGTCAGCCTGGACATGACTGCTTCAGTCTCACTGTTGGCAACAATGGTTCATTGTCGCTCTAGACATGATTGCTTCACTATTACTGTTGACATGAGTCGTTCATTGTCACTATAGACTTCACTGGGTCATTGTCACTGTTGACATGACTGGTTCATAATTACTGTAGTCATGACTGGTATAGTGGCATTGTTGATATGACTAGTTTATTGCCATTGTTGACATAACTAGTTCATTGTCATTGTTGACATGACTGGTCTATTGTCAATGTTGACATAACTGGTTCTTGTCACTGTTGACATAACTGATTCCTTGTCATTATTGACATGTCAACAATGACAATGAACCAGTTATGTCACCGGTGACAAGATCCATTTATGTCAAGAATGACACTAAACCAGTCATGCCAAGGAACCAGATGTCAACAATGACTCTGAACCAGTTATTTCTGGTTCATTATCACTGTAGTCATGACTGGTTCATTGTTATTATTGTCATGTCTGTTTAAGTGTCATTGTTGTCATGATTAGTGTAGCTCTGGATCAACATTACTGGAGACGTGACTGCTTCATCGTCACTGTCATGTTTGTCTCATTTTCGTTTAACAATTATCTTCATCAACTTCCTTTTCCGCTTCTGTAATACAGTATAGGAAATTATTTCCGGGTGATGTGGTGGAGTTCGCGGAGTTAAGAGAGTGAATCATTTCTCATCAAAGTGTTAAGAGACACTTATAATGAAAGAGTAAAGTGAGGACAAACACACGCATGCACACTCTTCCACTGAACACTTTATTGAACATGTAAAACCATCAATAAAAATACAAAGAGCTGTTATCACAACTGGTTACAGGTTTGGAGGCCACAAAGCCGCACCAGTGAACAGGATGGAGTAGGTGCACAGTCCTCTCACCTACCCTCTCCCTTTACTCTCTCTCTCTCTCTCTCTCTCTCTCTCTCTCTCTCTCTCTCTCTCTCTCTCTCTCTCTCTCTCTCTCTCTCTCTCTCTCTCTCTCTCTCTCTCTCTCTCGCTCTTGCTCTCGCTCTTGCTCTCTCTCTCTCTCTCTCTCTCTCTCTCTCTCTCTCTCTCTCTCTCTCTCTCTCTCTCTCTCTCTCTCTCTCTCTCTCTCTCTCTCTCTCTCTCTCTCTCTCGCTCTCTCTTCCGGCTCTCAGGACAGCTTGGCCGCTCCTGAACCTCGCAATCAACCCCAAGATCAAGAACCTTGTTTACGGGACGTACAGAAAAGCTGGATTATTATTTCATTTTTATTAATGTGAGCCAGAGAATGAATGGCAACATAAATTGGAATTAGATATTAGTGAAGAGGAGGAGCGTGAAGAGGAAAACATGTGTCCAGCAAGCTGCTGACTCCAGCAGAGAGAGAGAATCTTTGATCGTGTATACAGAATTAAAAGCCCCTTTGTTATTTCTTCCATTCCCTCCCCCCCCCCTCCCCCACTTCCGTTTAAAAAAAAAAGATGGAAGATCCCCGGTCCGTCACTTACAAGTAACCCAAGTTTAGAGAATCAGGTCTAGCACATTAAATCAACTAGAGACAAGGAACACTCACTCCCTCTCTTCCTCATAAGAACACTTGCCCCCCCCCCCCCCACACACACACACACACACACACACACACACACACACACACACACACACACACACACACACACACACACACACACACACACACACACACGCACGCACGGACACACACATACTCACTAGGTGAGTACGTGTGTGCATACACATGTTTTTACACACAACACGCTGTGGTGTTGTGTGTTAATCATCAACTTTATGCAGATATGATGTGAACTTGATGAAACTTTATGTGAACATGATGTGATCATGATTAAGCTTGCTATGAACATAATGTAAACTTGACGTGAACATGACGTGAACATGACGGTCAACGGAGACTGCAATTGGCATGTTGAATGTGGAGGTTGTTGTTAATATAGATTGTTATGGCGCTCGTGTGCCTTGGCTAGAGTGAGAGGTATGGCTTTACTATTTGTGGCTGCAGGTTCGAGCTGTTAGCTCTTGGACCCCGCCTTTCTAATTGTCGGTTGTCTAATGTACTGACTCTCGACCTACTTTATTCTCTTGTATACTACATATATTTATCTCACACACACACACACACACACACACACACACACACACACACACACACACACACACACACACACACACACACACACACACATGCACGGACACACACACACACACACACACACACACACACACACACACACACACACACACACACACACACACACACACACACACACACACACACGGACACACACACACACCCTCCTTGTCCCATGTCTCAGGTTGTACGAAAATGGACAAAGTCTACCGTACAGAAGCTAAAGAGGGTTAGGTTACGCCTAGGACACATTGACAGCCAGGGTCGGTAGGAGACAGATCATCGATATTATGACATTCAATAAGTTAATATTATTCATATTACAGAGATACAATTATGGTCAAAGAAGCGTTAAATCCTACTGCAGAGGAGAGCCATGTACAATATGTACACAATAGGGGATAAAATGTACTCGTTTCAAGGGATAGTAGCGCGCGCTCTCCGGGCAGTTGGTGGTGGTGTGAGGTGCGTGTACCTGGGTCCGGGTAGCGGGCCCTTATCTGTCTGTCCTCAAGAGTACTGTCTTCTGTTTCTTGAATGGTCGTAGATACCAGTTGCACTACACCGGTGGCACTACACCGGTGGTACTACACCGGTGGTACTACACCGGTGGTACTACACCGGTGGTACTATACCAGTGGTACTATACCAGTGGTACTACACCGGTGGCACTACACTGGTGGCACTACACCGGTGGCACTACACTGGTGGCACTACACCGGTGGCACTACACCGGTGGCACTACACCGGTGGCACTACACTGGTGAGGACACTGGAAGACGGGTGGTGTCTCGCATAATACGCAGGGGCTGCACTAGGGAGGCTGTGTCGGCCGCTTCTGGTGGCAGGCGACGTCACACACACACACAGTTGCTGCTGCCTGTGGTGAAGACACGCTCATGGCGTGATGGTGATGTAGTGACGATGATGTCTCGTGTGGTGGTGGTGGGTCGGTAGGAGATGGTGGCGGGAGGGGGGGGGGCGGGCAGAAGGGGAGCGGGATACTAGAGTTGCGCCTGCTGGCTGCTGCTGCTGCTGCTGGCGGCTGCTGCTGCTGCTGCAGAATGGCCTCTGCTCCGCCCTGCTGGCCTTAAACACTGGCTCCCGTTTGGTTCCGGTGAAAGAGAAACATTTTTTTCATAATTTTTCCCCTGTATCTCCCACATTCCAGGATGTGGTTCTATGAAGTCCAGCTTTGCCGATCAATACGGCTGGACCAACCAAATGGTATGTGTCGTCCCAATCTCCTGCAGCTGGCCTCCTGCCACGCGCCCTCACAGCCCGCTGACGGGGCTTCTCAGCTGTGTATGACACACTCGCCAGACCTGAGTAAATACTGGCAGTGCTTTACTTTATGATTCCAAAACTAAATGAACTGCTTTGAGTCGGAATTAACGCATAGCGGAACTAAAGCCACAGCCAGAGTGGCGGGGTCGGGACGCGCGCCCTCAAGCTGGAGGGCCCTTGAGGAGGCCGGTGTGCGCTCCATGGAAAAACAACATAGCCGTGACAGCACCAGCACCGCCCGACCCACACCACCACCACATGGGAGACAAATTCCAGCTTACAGTCCATTACTGGAAGTTTGAGAGCCATCAGCACTGCTGCTCCTACCGGCAAAAGGGGGAAAAAAAGTCGAGGGGAAATTGCTCGCTGCCTTTCCAGAGCTTTGAGCTGTGCAATTTGGGTCTGAATTTGTCACATCGACGAACGGAGATCGTAGGGAAGATACTTGTAGTACCGCTGGCGGACGTCTTCCTGTCATTTCTGTACTCGGCTCAAATTCGAACACTTAAATACACACAGGAGCCGCTGCCTGAATACAAATTGAAAGTCTACCAATTCGACCTAAATTGTTATCTTTGTTAAGAATAATGAAACGATACTGGTTTTGAAGGGTGCCCCAGCAGGAGGAGCAGCAGCAGTAGCAGCAGCAACAGCCGACATCCCCCACCTCGCCCACGAAACATCTCTGTGCACTTTCAAAGGCCAAACCAAGAAAAATAAACATCCTTGACTATCCCGCGCCGTCACTGTTATCACTCCCGGCTCCTGTACAGTTGTGGCATGAATGCATAAGGAGGGATTATTTTTGAGGCGAGTCACGTTCACTCCACTGCCACACTATACCGGATCACAAAAGTTTTAAATACTGGAAGTCACAAGTTCACAGCTGCTCTGAATTACTGCAAATACCTGGCCTTTGTTAGCTCCCTGCAGCCTCCGACCCCAGTCTTGTGTGATCCACTTTTAAGGGCTGCAAGGGTGCAGGACCGGAATACCAATGAGTAGTTTTACTTTCAAGAGCTGTTGCTTTATTTTCCAGTGTAATTCACAGTGATAAAGCAAGTTATGAACACACAGTTTGTTTTTTTTTTCCTTCACTTTAACTGATTACGTGTTTATGTAAGACCCGGTGAGAAACACTGATTAATGCAGACTGTCCTGGGTATTTTCAGCACCTCAAGTGCGTGCTTCCTTAAGTAATTCCAGAGCTTTAAGTGGAGGGCGATGACTCGGGCGGGATAGAGCCAAATGTAGACCCGAGCATCTTAATGTTTCCGTCACTGGGACCAGTATCATGTCGGCGTCCTTGAGGTGTCAGCTGGCTGTCAGTGGTGGTGGGGGCCTTCCTGCTGAGTGCGTAGGGCCGCCCACGCCCTAGTCAAACCTACCATATCCCAGGTGAGAGGGTGACTTTGGGCCTTCCCTAGTGAGGCGTAATTGCAGATTGTGAGACTGCCTGGTCCCCTCAGTTGGCAGGGGTTTGGGGGGGCCCCTGCCATTTATTCCCCTGGTGAGTGTAAGAGGTCTTCCGGACCCTTACCACGCACGCTGGTGGTGGAGGTAGGCGTTGTTGACGTTGTGGTGTAGCGGGGTCATCGACGGGAAGGCGGCGGCGCTGACGGGCGTGGCGGAGCCCTGGCTGCGGAAGGGGTCGAGAGCGCCCGCAGAGTCGCAAGTGAGGTGCGCCGGTAGGAGGCTGGAGGTGTTGGAGCCCGCCAGGTTGGAGGATGAGGTGGATGAGGTGTCTCGGTGATGTCCCAGCTTGCTCTCCCCCGCAGCTCCTGACGAGGACGACGAGGAACCCTTAGTGGCGTTCTCCTCCTTCACCAGGACGGGCACGGAGATACGGCGAGGCGACGTGGCACTCTGCAAGAAAAGATCACGTCGTTAGTCATATGTCGCAAGCCGACACACCCAAGTCCAACTGGGTCTCTTGAACACAACAACTCCGTTATCGCTTTCCCTCTCTTCAGTGTTCAATAGCTATCCTCGCGGAATGGAGAGAAAGGAAGAGAGACAGAACGATTAAATACTACATAAATAAGACAAATACAACAAAACAAGAAATGGCAAACAAATATATAAATGATGTGGGAAAATTAAACACACACACACATATACACACATGTTCACACACTCGCGCACACACTTTCCTACGAGGAATGACAAAAGGAGCTGAACCTCACGTCCGTGAAAAACAGAAGAGTAAGGGGAGACATGATAACCTCCTACAAAATTTTCAGGGAAATTGACAGTGTCCAAAAGTGGACAAAGACAGACTCTTTAGCACGGGGGGAACACGCACAAGGGGACAGAGGTGGAAACTGAGTACCCAAATGAGCCACAGAGACATTAGACATAATTTTTTCAGTGTCATAGTAGTTAACAGGTGGAATGCACTAAGAAGTGATGTGGTGGAGGCTGACTCCATACACAGTTTCAAGTGTAGATATGATAAGAGCCCAGTAGGCTCAGGAATCTGTACATCAGTTGATTGACGGTTGAAAGGCGGGACCAAAGAGCCAGAGCTCAACCCCCGCAAGCACAACTAGGTGAGTACACACACACACCAGAAGCTTGGGGCTAGTCTTACCCAAATTTGTAGGGAAAATGATCATAAGCTGCTTGGGTAGGCCTAAGTTAAATGATTTAAGGGGGCATATCATTCTAAATCGTTATAAATTGAAAGTTGTTCAATTTGCTTATAAATTTTTTTATGAAATGGTTATAGATAGGGCTGCAACTGGTCCAAGTTTCACCATCACACCCTAAACAGAAAAGGAGAAAAAAAATACACAACGTATTATGCAACGAATGTTCAACATTCTCAAATAATCTCAGGGAACACATCTGTCAACTAAAATGTCTACTATGTGCCGTAGAAGCACAAACTCTTGTAATAATTGTAATATGTATGTTCAATATATTTATATTTAATTTTTTTTTTTTCCTTTTTATTTTTTTTTTTTTTTTTTTTTTGGCCAATTTTTTTTCTCGTTTGTTATCAAGGGATTTTCATGAAACTTGCACACCTTTCTCAATGGATGCCTATCTGCAAGGGTGCCAATTATGAACGAAATCTGTCGAAGTCAAGCTCAGCTACAGGTGGCTGAACTTGGATCTTTATTTTACTCTGGAAAGTAATTTACACCTTCAAAGTACTTCAGAGCTTTCATTTATTAATCAATTTACATGCAAATTACACCTTATATGTAGCGTTTGTGCTTCTACAGACTCTAGTAGACATTTTAGTCCAAAGTCTATTTGTTGATTTTATAAAAATTTATAAATATCATAAATTGCATATTTTTTTAGTAGGGTAACTTTGAAAAATTATATTATTGCACTAAGCACTTTTTTGATAAAACTGATCACTAGAATCCTTTATTATGTGCTTAATTTAATATCTGAGTGTTATAGAAATGATTTTAGTTGACATATGTGTTCCCTGAAACTATTTGAAAATTCGTTGCATAATTCGTTGTTTATTTTTTTTCTCCTTTTCTGTTTAGGGTGTGATGATGAAACTTGGACCAGCTGCAGCCCTTTCTATAACCATTTCATAAAAAAATTTATAAGCAAATTGAACCACTTTTAATTTTACATGAATATGCCCCCTTAAGACATATTGGTGACTATTAACACCCTCGCTATCCGACTCTGATGATTAAATTCTGGAAATATCTTGTGAAAAATTGGTTGAGATGCCTTAAGAGTTTTTATCATCATAACAAATAATTTCTACCATGTAAGACCCATACAGTAGTTATCTTATAAGAGACGAGGGAAAGTAGTGGGAAGGAAAATGCCTTCCTATCTCACCCACTGTGATATCTCCCTATATACCTAATCTCCCTAATTTGGTATAAACGCTGTAAACTAGCTGCGTGTTACAAGCCGATTGGGACATGGTAATACCTCGGAAACTGGAACCAGTTGGGACATGGTTATTCCCGGGAAAATAGCTTAAACCCAATATAAAAAAACTTCCTCCTTAATAACAATATTCGAACTGGCGACCCTTGTATTGCTTGGCCTGAACGGTAATCAGTCCGACTTTAAACCTATAGCACAGGACTTTGACCTTATGTCACAGTGTCGTGTGTCCTGTTGGCTCCCTCGCTGTGTTTGTCCTGTCTGGCGTTATCACATGACGAGAGCGCTTATAATTTTTTCGTTACTTGAAGTGTGCACACACACACACACACACACACACACACACACACACACACACACACACAGGAAGCTGCAGACAGATTTATCCCGGCCCAAAAGGAGAAAAATGAAAAGCAGCAGAAGAATCCATGATTCAATCAGGAATGTAAGGTAGCTTCCAGGTTTCCGGTAGGTCGACTCCTGTTTCCAGTGACCTGTTAATCACCATAGAGAGTGGTACACTTAGCGCTTCTGCACCCTCTTTTAGTATCCACGGTGTGATTCTGTCAGGCCCAACAGCCTTTGTTACATTCAGCTCCAACAGATTCTTTTTGACCTTATCACTGCTAAGCTCAAATTCCTCCAAGGTTGATTAGTTTGCTGACTCCCCTCTTAGTGCAGGGCTTCTCCTTGCTCTATTGTGAACACCTCCTGGAATCTCTTGTTGAGTTCTTCGCACACCTCCTTGTCATTCTCTGTGTATCTGTTCTCCCCTTTTCTCAGTTTCATCACTTGTTACTTCACTGCTGTTTTCCTCCTGATGTGGCTGTGGAGCAGTTTTGGTTGGGTCTTGGCTTTACTCGCGATGTCCTTTTTTATTCAGTCTCTGCTTCTCTCCTCACTCTGAGGTACTCATTCCTGGCCCTCTGGTATCTCTCCCTGCTCTTTGATGTTCTGTTATTCCCGTAGTTTCTCCATGTTCTTGTACTCAGTTGCTTCGCTACCTTACATTCCTGATTGAATCATGGATTCTTCCGTTGCTTTTCATTTTTCTTCTTTTGGGCCGGGATAAATCGGTCTGCAGCTTTCTGTATGTGTGTGTGTGTGTGTGTGTGTGTGTGTGTGTGTGTGTGTGTGTGTAGGTGTATGTATGTACACACACACATATATATATATATATATATATATATATATATATATATATATATATATATATATATATATACAGAAAACTTTAAATTATGTTAAAAAATAGCAGAGCAGTTGTGCTAAATGTAAATTTTACGTTAATTCTGGAGGCTAGAGTATTTAATTTCAATAAAAACACGAACATATTCAGTGGAAATGGAATCAAATAATTCATTATATTTTTGGATATTTTGGTTTGTATATTTAAACATATTTTTCAAGTTTCATAAATGCAGAAAACTAACAAATGTTGGATCATATGTAAATTTTTATTCATGCGACCATGAGGGTAAAACTCTTGATGTTTCCTTTAGTGTTTGTGAGGTTCCTTCAGGGATATAGTAGAGAGCATGTTGGTCAAATCATGACATTGTACCTTATGAACATCAGCTTAAGATATCATAAGATATTTATTGAAAATACTTTGCAGATAACAAAAATATTTTTTTTCTGTTTGAGAAAAAGGAAGAATATATTAAAACCAACCCTTTAAGTTCTACAGTTTCACGAGAACTTTATTGAAATTCCTAAACTATTAAAAATGTTTAATATCAAATTGATATTAAGGAATCTTGATTTAATCAGAAATCTTTAATTCAAAAATTACTTAATACCTACAATGAGTATATTTACAAAATCCCATGTATAGCTTGTAATAAATTCTATACTGGACCAACTGGTAAACACTTTGATCATATAATAATACAACATCAATATAGCACAAGGACGGTCTGATATTATAGTGCTCTGTCTTTGTATGTAAGAGGGTCAAATTATCTTATTGACTGGATTAATTTTCTGATTTAGTTTTTTCAATCGTTATATTAAATGTAGTTAACAATGTAGCTTTAATATTATATCTAGGCTATAGAAATCCAACAGATTACTTATTGTATGATATTTGTCAGAAACATGCAATTGTTTAAGCAGTAATCTAATGTCAGTTGTTAATCAACTCATATATATATATATATATATATATATATATATATATATATATATATATATATATATATATATATATATATATTTATTTATTTATTTTGGTAGCAGTCTTTCCTGTAGACATATATTATTAAATATGACCGAAAAAGTAATATTAATAATTCTAACACGAATTTTCTCTATCTTTCTTACGTTTCTTTTCACTGTTGATGGTAATTCAAAGATCAATTCTCCAAAATTAATAGTAATTAAATAAAAATAAAAATGAATTTTGGAGAATTGATCTTTGAATTACCATCAACAGTGAAAAGAAACGTAAGAAAGATAGAGGAAATTCGTGTTAGAATTATTAATCTTACTTTTTCGGTCATATTTAATAATATATATATATTATATATATATATATATATATATATATATATATATATATATATATATATATATATATATATATATATATATATATATATATGTCAACTAACGACCAATTAGTTGACGTCTGTCATAAAAAATCACAAATGTTATTCATACGCATCATGGAAAACTTACATGGTGGCCTTACTAAGAGCTGCTTATTATTGACACATGTACTCTCCTTTTCTAGCATATTGGAAAAGCTTACGATTTTATATCTTGACTCTAGTAAAGCTGACAAAAAAGACTGATTAGAAATGTTGAGGTACATTGTATTATGAGGGGATATTTTAAGGTGTGATTAGGGCATGGTTTGTTCAAATGAAACAGGGTTAATATATAATAAGTCAAGTCCTAATACGAGACAGTTGCATGTGAGGGGTTTTCCATGGCCATGGCCTCGAACCTCTGGTTTTTAGTATTTATATTAATGATTTAGATAC